CGGCCAGTCTTAGTTTGTTTAGCTAGAAGCATTTGCCGAAAAAACCGGTGCCGGTAGCAACAAAACCTGCGGGGAACTATGCAAAAAACGCATCTTCGCACGGGCTGCCCGTGCGTTGGCCAGTTATTTGCATTGATACATGTCAGTTTTTCAAAATTTCATAAAAATAATTGATATAACTATTTCACCAGGACGAAGAAGCAAACCTCAGCTGGACGTGCTTCAGGAATACCAGTGAGGCGTGGAGTCTGACTGCTTTTAGTGACAGTGTCAAAAGTGATCGTAAGGCTCAGTACAAGCTGAAGCTCGTCCTGCGGCTGTATATGGCTCACCAAAACATCACGTCGTATATACTCGAAATATCCGTGCAGCTGAAAATGAATTATCAGCTTCACACTCGCAACAGTGCTCGAGGAACCAGTTTTCTTTTCCTTCTTTGCTTTATTTCTCTTCATACCTTCTATTCCTCCTCCACAGCTTTGCATTTCAAAATTACAAGAATCAGTGAGAGGTAATACAAACACATGGCTGAATGAAAATGCTTGTAAAAAATAGGAAAAGATGACGAAGCACACTTGAAGACCGGCGGTTGTACCCGAATGTGACAATGTAAAACAAAGGTAGGCAACCGGCGGCCCGCGGAGGAGATCGGAATATGGCACCTAACTAGATGATCGGGAGATTTTTATTCCGTCACGCTTCTGCACTCCGATGAAAATAAATAAATAGCAACGCATACCAGATTAGCCGGTGCGATCATGCGTTTTGAGCAATTCAGCCCATCGAACGATTGTAATGATTTTTACTTCCTTGTACTTTAGTCTATGCAAAAATAGTTCAAACATTGAAAAACAGTTAAGAAAATGATTTTCACTGCTTTGTACTTTAGTCTATGCAAAAATAGTTCAAACATTGAAAAACAGTTAAAGATTTCACTTCCTTGTACTTTAGTCTATGCAAAAATAGTTCAAACATTGAAAAACAGTTAAAAACTTTTCACTGCTTTGTACTTTAGTCTATGCAAAAATAGTTCAAACATTGAAAAATAGTTAAAAATTTCATGCACCAGTTCACTGCTTTGTGCTTTAGTCTATGCAAAAATAGTTCAAACATTGGAAAACAGTTAAAAATTTCAACAGACTAGCCGGTGCGATAATGCGTTTTGTGCAATTCGGCCCATCGAACGATTGCCTATTAATGATTTTCATGCTTTGTACTTTAGTCTATGCAAAAATAGTTCAAACATTGGAAAATAGTTAAAAATTTCACACACCAGTGCTTTGTTCTTTAGTCTATGCAAAAATAGTTCAAACATTGGAAAACAGTTAAAAATTTCACGCACTTTTTTACTTTAGTCTATGCAAAAATAGTTCAAACATTGGAAAACAGTTAAAAATTTCACGCACCAGTGCATGAAAGCTAAATTCGAAACCTTGAAGGATGAATATCTTCCCGTGATTCCCGAGTTAATAGTTTACCCGCCAAGATTTTCACTAACCCGTAGGTGGTACCCTAGGGCGCGGGAACACTGAATTTGAATGGGCAAGGTTGAGCATGGGTAAGGAGTCATTACCCTAAAATTTCAGCCTCCTAGACCCCGTAGCTCCCGAAATATTAACTTACCCGTACGTGTTACCCGCGGGTACGAGGAAGCTGAATTTAAATACGCGGGGTCACACGTGGATGGGGAACGTTCCCCTAAATTTTCAGCTTCCTAGCTTTTGTAGTTCCCGAGTTGAAAGTTGCGGACAAGTTGCTGCGGACACACAACACACAGACAACCCCGTAATAATATGCGTTTTGTACTGCTGTTACACAGCACAAAACGCATAATAAAACTAATCCCGCACAAAGCTAAAAGACGACAATCTGCAAAATACTCTGAAAACCTGTGTCAGTGATGTAAATCCTGATTTCAGTGATCTTGTGTCAAAAGTTCAAGCCCAGACTTCACATTAATCTGCTATTGTTTACTTTCTGATGCATTTTTGCTGTGCAGCGCTATGGCGCTGCTACAGTGAGTAAAAACGCATATTGTCGAGATGTCGTCCGCGTATATGTTTTAAAGCGAGTGAACTTTGTCACTCACTTCCAACTCAGCAAACAGGAAAGCTAGAAGGCTGAAATTTTTTGGGAAAAAAAAAATCTTATGCAGATGCAAAAATGCATAATACTGAGAGCATGTCTGTGTGAGTGCTTTTTCGGAAATGGATGAACTTTTCCGCCCGTTTTCAAACCAGCAACGATGAGAGTCATGATGCAACACTATCGTCTTAGCCGACGCCCTTTTCCTCCAAATGCAAGAAAAGACCAGAACACAGGCACATGAGCTGCGCGTGTCAAACTGTAAAGCAACAGTCATTCATATTGTTAATGATCATACTGTCAAATCTGGCATAAAAACGGGCAAGCCTGTTGCTTTGCTATCTGGGTTTTATTAAAAGATCGTCCGCGAGCTTACGTATGCAAATTAGGCGCGCGTGTCGCCAAAGGTTGCGCATGCCTGGTGTAAAAAGTCGTCCATCTGTCTTGCTCATAAAAGAATATGTCTTCCAAATCCATGGCTCCCACAGTTCCTTATAATTTCAGCTCATGCTTAGAAATATGAGCAGAGACCAGAAATGTCGGGTTTTAAAAGCTGACTTCAGATTATTCACACCGTTTTGTGCAATGAATTTAACCCTTAAAAATTTGAGTTTGCTTTTAACTTTACAAAAAAATTAGCACGAACTCGGGCCTACAATCACAGCTCAGGACATTGAATTTTGATGATTCAATTCTGGATTCCTTAACACACACTGCGCGATGAAACATGCAAACTTTTGATTAGAAGCTTGCTGGTTCTCGAATTATTAGTCTGCCCCGAACCTAGGCGTGAAGTCATTGGGATGTGGGACCTAAACAAACAGCGGCTGTACCGGGGCAGCCAATGTGATCATGCGTTCTGCGCAATTCCACCCACCGGAGGACATGTGTCTGCTAAACATCTTCACTATTTTATCACTTCGTTCTGTGCAAAAATAGTTAATACATCGCCCAGTTCCTAAGCTGCGAGATTCCCACTAAGATTCCACGTACTGGCACGTGAAACGTGAGCGTGCGTGGAAGCTGAATATGGAGGACAGTAAACATCCTTCCAAAAATTTCAACCTCCTAATTTTCTGCTGCCGAGTGGCTTTCGCGCCAACACTTTCATGTGGTTGCACGTGAGTCCGCAGCATACCTGGGAGCTAAATTTGAGTTTGTGAGGCCCCTGTGTAAGCAGAAAACAACCTCCTGAAAGTTTCAGCCTCATGGCTCTTCTAGCTCAAAAATATAATAATTTTCTCCGCCAAAATTTTCACGAGGACATAATCGATACCTAGGCGTACGGGAAGACTAAACATAAATTTACGGGGGTCATGCATGGGAATATTGTTCAAAATTTCAACTTGCTAGTTATTTTTCGTGGTTCCCGAGTTGAAAGCTGCGAACAAGTTACTGCGGACACACACACACACACACACACACAAATATACGTACAGACAAGCCCGTGACAATATCCGTTTTGTGCAGCTGTTGCACGGTACACAAACCGTAAAAATCGATTCCCAAACTCAGTTCTGTTGTTTTCAATTTCGAGAGCTGAATTACACAGACAGAAATAAACACAAACATAACTTCGCCATAATGCGCTGGGTGTTCCAGTGCTTTTGTTCCAATGTGATCAAAGCAGGCTTAACTGTTTCATGCTGTGCACCAAAAAACAGACCTGTTGC